ACGACCAGCTCATGTTTAAAGATCTTTCTAAAAATTAATTTTAGTCGTGCTTCACACCTAACATAATTTATGCAAAAGAATGACTATATTCATAATCTATAAATCCAAATGACTTTTGTAAAGAAATCTTTAGCTTTAATCAAATAAAGTTGTAGCTATTTCCATTTATTTCATCGTGAGTTCAGTCCTGTGCACAGCTTACATTAAATTGATGCTGAATTTGTTTTGTTTGTCATGTACCACTGTGCAAAACACTTTCGAGCTACGTTCAAGAGCTTAAAAGGTGAACACTCACAGACATTCAGCCAGAGCGTTGCCCGCCAACAGCCGCCCCTTCTGACCAGGTCTTTGGCTACATAATTTCAACAATATGCGTGCATTGAGCACAACACCTCCCTGCCGTGCACTCCCAAACCACCCAACCACCCAAACCCCTCGAAATACACACGAAAACGAAATCAGACGTAAAAACATTAAATTACAAACCCTTATTTTACACACTAAAAAAAAAGAATGAAAGAAAAAGCTGGCAAAGCGAAGGCGAACGAAAACCGAGACACAAAACTGAAACTGAAACTGAAACAGCGAAACGTGCCGGGACCAAGGACCAAGGACCAAGGACGCAGCACAACAAAGGGGCGACTCGAGTCGAGCTCTGTGCCACAAGGGATGCAAACGCAAATGCCAGATATTAACCCCGCTCTGCACGTGAGAGTGTGTGTGTGTTTGTGTGTGCGAGTGTGCCTGTGTGTGTATTTGTTGTTGCGTTCTGCTTTTGTGCGATGTGTTTTCGCCGTGCTTGTCAATTTTTCGTGCCAAAACAAACGCAACGAACATTTTCGCCGATTAGAAAGAAACAATTCGTGAGTGCAACGTGAGCGCCGCGCGCCGCTGCCAGCCCAAACAGAGCGCTGTCACAACGCTGATAATACAAATAAAAATAACAAAATTAATAAAATTGTTAACAAAAAAAAAAAACAACAACTGTGCTTAAGCCCAACGTAAATTCTTAGAAAAAACTATACAAAATATATTGTTTTATTCTAAGGAAAAATCCCGGCAAAGTTCAAGCAGATGTCGAGTTGCGTCTTGTTATTGTTTTGCTGCTGCTTCCTCTTCTAGCAATAGTTCTTTGTGTCTGTGCCAGTATGTGTATGTGTGTGTGTGTGTGTATGTGTGTGTGTTTCTGTGACTCAGCGCAAATGGCTGTGCGCATCTTTGTTTACCTTGCCACATCTGAGCGCCGCTGCCACCAGTAAATGCAGCGCCAAAAACCGCAGCTCTGGAGTTGACAATGAGCGATTCCATTGATAATTTACATGCCGATAACAGCAACAACAATAACAATAGCAACAACATTGCTGCTGCTGCTGCCAATAACGATGGCGACTCCGATGTGGAGGTCATCGAGGGCATGGAGCTGCTCGAAGGCAACTATCAAGTGCTGCGCCAATGGGTGCCACCCGCGCCCAACTATTGGGATGCGCCGCCCAAGGCGATCATCAAATCGGCTGAAGTGAGGTAAATAAACAAAATTATTTGAAACTTTCAAATACGCGAAGCAACAACAACGTTTGCAACTACAAAATTCGAAACTTGCCACAAATGCGGCAGCCTGCTGGCAATTTGGTCGTGTAAAATTATAAGCGCAGTTTTTATACCCTGCACCGAATGTAAATGGAGAAAGGTAGTCTTAACCGGCCTGTTCATGTGGCAGGCGATGGGACTCACATAAGTTAGACTTTATATTCTACAAATATATTTTATTTATCGGAATGAACAATCGATATATAATTACTCGAATTGCCAAGTCGTCAGTTTCTTTATTTTATCTGCTCGATCTCAAATTAAAGCGAAAATGTACGATATGGATAAATCTTTAAAAAGAACATATAAATAATCAAAATAGTGAGCGGGACTGAGACATATGAAGCGGGAAAATCGGAGAGATAGCAATTAGTTTTTGTATAGAAAATATGTGTGTTTTTTTATGATACCCTTACCAAGTATGAGGTTCGCTCAGCTCTAAGGGAAGCTTACCTATAGGTATGCCTTAACTATAGGATGCTTACCTAGTCACATGTCTCAAGGGTATTTAATCTTCGGCGTGCTAGCATTTTTATATTAAACTTTACTTTTTTCTATGGATCGATGCATACTAAGCTTATCTTAACCCGACCCTATAGGGCATCTCCTAGTCGATCAACGCCAAGTGCCTTGGCTTATTTAACTGGGCATTCAATATGTTTTAATTAAGTGCCACAATTTGACAGCACATTCCACTAGTGACTGCACAAATTGCACAGCAATTAAATCGAGTTAACTCGAACCGAACCCGAATCCGAATCGAACTCGATTTTAAACTCGATCGCCCTGGCGGGCATTAGGCGTCTAACGTCTAACGGTACCGCTCAATAAAAGTGCAGTTATTTGTAACGCACTTTTTGTGGCCACAATTGCCAATTGGCAACTGGTTACTGGCCGCTGGCCACTGGCAATTGGCTGCTCAATGGATTTGGCCTCGCGTCCAGCTAATTCTGAATAAATGCTGCTGCAAGTTTACAGCTCGCAATTCATTCAATAAAAATTTGATTATTATGGACGTCATCTAATGCAGCTTTAGCATAAAAAAGCTAACGGCCGCAACATACAGCAAGGGTATAAAAATTTATGTACATATGTATAAATCGGTATTTGTTATGGAATAACAAGATGGAAGAACTGGTTTTGGTCCAAAGTCGCAGCCAGAAATGCCCTAACATTTTGTTAGGCTTGCAGTGAGAGTAAACTGAAGAGCCAAGAAGCATACAAATTTGGTTGGGGGAGAGTATGAGAAGATATTAGAGGGAGTAGAGAGTTAATTTATAATGGAGTTTCTTCCGATACAGTTTCTATATTTCGACTTATTTGACAAGTAATAGAAACTGTTTTTTTCGACTTTACCAACACATAAATTTACTACAGCGAATATTTTGCAACACTGCATAAAGCAGATTTCGCCAGAATATACAGTATTGCGCAATGGCAACACTTATGCAACATTTTGCAAACACTGCTTAAGTAAACTATTGCTTTAAAACAGCTTGAGTTTGAACTCTTAAACAAATCCAATAGTAAATCGCATATGCCCTAAGTAGAGATAGATAAGTATATTTGCCTGGCTGCCTGTCCTGGCCGTCTGTCTTCACTCAAGAAGCGCCAACAGTTGCCGTCTGAGTATTGCTGCCGGCTGTCAACAGCACCAAGTGGTATGCAACATGTGCAACATTCGAGCGGCAGATTGTTGGAGCGGAGAGGCCGGGGTTAACAGCTCGTCCACAAGTGTCTTCGTCTGCGCCGTTGACAACTGCAACATGAATTTGCGGAATTGAATTGAGTTGCCTGAGCTGCCTCCACCCCCTTCCCCACCTCTTGCATGGCTGGTAAATAATAAATGCATTACTTGAGTGCATGCGAAATGGAAATCAAAATGCAAACACTGCCAGATTTTTGCCACTGCTGCGGCATCAAGTGCAGCCGCGCAGTTGTCGATGCCGATGTCGATGTGGCACCCCTTGCCACCCCGTCCGCCAATCTGCCCCTCTGCCACATGCTTGGAGCGTTTTGTTTTTGTCTGGCGGCCCGTTAAGTGCAGCCCAAAGTTTCGCATTGCATGCGCATTGTGCGAGTGCTGCTGCTGCTGCGGCTGCTGTTGCAAGTATCTGTTGCACGTTCTCAATATGCATTTCAGAATTACAATATGTTGATTGCATTTCGCCAAGGCACGTAGATGAGCCACATGCTCCAAGAACATTTGCTCCCGAGCTCCCCAAGCTCATGCACAATGCCAGCATTTCCGGCCAAGGGAAAATTGCGGCCAGTTCTGCGCCGGAGCAGCTGCAGCGGGGCATGCTTCCTCTGCTGCGGTTAGTTGGCTTTGCCAGGACTAAATTACTTTATTCTGCCTTATTCTCTTCTTTTGTTAATGTTGTTGTTATTGCCTGGTTGCCTGGGTAATTGATATGGCTTTGTTTTTTGTAAGCTCTATAAGTTGTCGTTTCTATTGTTGCCTTTTTCTGTATTGTTGCAGCTAAAGCCACAAAGACTGCGCCGCACAATGGCAACAAAAGTCTGGAGTTTTGATTGCAGCATTAAGTTTGCACCCAATTGCGTGGGTCCTTAAAAATTATTAATGAGCACTGCGACTATCATAAATATCATAATATATATACATATATCTGAATACTATTATATCAAACGAATCATGCATTGTCTATAAATCAGCTTTTATTTTCGCCCTTCTTTCGTTGCAGGTAAGTTTCATTTGTTTTCCACCACGACAACTCCTTTCACTTTGTGACCAGACACAACAACAAAAAGAGACTTTGGCAATTTTGAATTGTGTGAAGGCGGCACGTCAATGTCGTTGAGTCTGAATGGAAATAGAGGATTTGTGGGGTATGGCAGAAGGAGTGCTGCCTGTGGGTATGTTGTTGAAAATTACGATGACTTGTCACACGACGAGCGCACGCGCTCGTGAATTTAATTTGCTTTCTGTGGATTGTTAGCAAATTAGCACAAATTCCCCTGCATAAATTCCAATTTGCCTATAGCCAAAACTTGGGCACTGTCAACTTTGTAACATAGCATCAAAACACACGTAAACAGCATAAACTATAAGGTCCAACTATGACAGCTATTGTAACCCAATGTCAAGAGGGTATTGCTCAAAAGACTTCCCAGTTCTGTAAATGCTTTTCTCATCAATTGGCAAATATGTGAAAACTCGATTAGTTTTGTAAGCAAGAAAATTGTACTTGCGTACAATCGAGGACGCCTCCCTCCACCTGAATGGCTGGATTTGTGGATTCTGCGATTATCGTGTATTACTAAAATCAAACGAAACTCTTCAACAAAGAATGCTTTTACGAATCGATTGCTATGGTTTGGCAATTAGTCTGTTGAATATTTAAATAAGCTACGTTTACCCAGTAAAGCCAGTATATAGTGTAGTCAAATACTACGCACAACTCTGCGATAACAATCAGTCGATTCATATTCAAAACTCGAATTGAAAAACAGCAACAAGATGAGCAAGAATTTAGAAATCATTTCAGACGGAACCAATAGGAACTATTTGACCTTCGACGCCACTTGTCGCAGCAAAAATGAGATGCCAAAATATTTAACCGAAGAATTGGTTAATGATGTCTTCAATGTAATTGAGAAAGATGAAACATATCACACCAAAATTTCCAGCAGTGATTGCCACAGCTATCGTAAGAAAATCTGTAAAAATGATAACGATGATATGGATCCGCGACTCAAATGCTGGAACAAGGTGTTGCGCGAGCGCAAAGTGTTGCAGGACCGAATTGAACGGCACACTGGGAAGCGGTCCGAGGATGTGCTATTCAACCGCCATGCCACCATCGATGAGCAGACCAAGCGGATGCTCCTACGTCTCATGGACTCGGCCGCGCGCAGCGAAGGTGTGTCCCCCACCCGAGTCAGGGGTGCGTTAAAGATGCGCCAGCAACCGGAGCTGTGCCGTGAATTACCCGAAATGCTCGTCACGGAGCCCAAACTACGAACACTGGAATTTGTGGGCTTGCCAGAGGTAACACAGCTGGAGCTGGCCGGCACACTAACGCCGGGCGAGAGTAAATGGCAGCGCTCGGAGGTGTTGGGCGAGCGGCTGGAGGCACAGGCGGGAAACATTAAGCGTGTGCTAACATACTGCCCCGAGATAAAACAGCTGCAGGTCTCATCGCTGCCCAAGCCCGAGGGGCCAACCATAGGCAGCAAGCGGATGGGCGAGGATATGATGTGCCAAGTGTCGACCGAGACAAGCCAGGCAGCAATGCCCGTGACTGAACCTGTCAAAGAGCAGGCATCTCCGCCGCCGCCAGCGCCGGTGGCCAACAAGGGCGACAACAACACCGGCTGGACCGTTAATAATGTAATCCGAATCAATGGTGTAACCTTAGGCTTTGGCGACATCACTGGCGTGCTCAGCGATGAGCTGCTTTTGTACTTCCAGTGCGAACCGATGCATCGGATTTGCAAGACCATCGTCCAGCTGGAGAACATTGGCACCAAGTTCGTCCAAGTGCGCTGGCAGCCGAGCAGCTTGCAGAATATGGAGTTGCAGCAGCACATGGTCGTGAACTCGGAATTCCTGTTCGACAACCAGCCCTTTGTGCTGCTGCCCGGCGAGAAGCGACGCATCGATGTCATGTACCAGCCCCTCAGGGTGGGCATCAAAAAGCAGCGCTGGTGCATGAACATGCTGCGCTCCCCGTTCTGTGGCGCGCGTCGTCTATATGTACGCTTCCATGGCATCTGCACGTTGCCCGTTTCCCATCGCCAGCGACTCGATCGGGATCAGCGTCTGGTCGTGGACAAGCGCAATCGTCAGGTCACCGAGCGACTGGCTAAATTGCATGCCGAACTGGCGCCCATTGTGGATTGCCCCACATTAAAGTGCCCCTATGAGCGCCCCCTGGACGAGCGTGAGCTATTTTCGGCACTGAATGCGGGCTTCATGTGCGAACGTTATGCGGATCTGGAGACGCTCAAGGAGCTATATTCGCTGGTAAAGAAGCCGCGTCAGCCAGCCTGGGATTATCGCCTGGACACGATGCGCCAGTGCATCTACCAGCACAAGGCGCAGCAGCGCGAAACGTTGCAGAATATTCTCACCGAATTGCTGGGACCCATGCGCTGCAATTCGAATGACTCGTTCGGCGATTATCATTTCAATCTGCACCGCGAACGCTCCTGTTTTCTCTATGTGCGAGGCATTGTGTGCAGCACCATTGAAGAGTGGGAGGCCTTGAGCGAGACCTTAGGCCAGCAGTTTTTCAAGTGCGAACTCCAGCGCTATGTCAATGATATGGAAGCGAAAAATGATAAGCTGCCCATTGATTCAAGCTATGTGGAATGGCTGGTCTCCAGGAAGGTCATGAGTAGCAAGTTTTTTAAGGATGCGCTTTATATACAAACCTATACGCTGGTCTGTGATGCCGCCGAGAATATTGTGTCTGCCATCGAGAGCACTGGGAATCTGTGAATCATCTGCTAGTCCAGGATTTAGTGAACATCTAGTTTCCGTTTGTCCTTCAATTCGAATTCGAATATTTGTACATTTATTTTTTAGAGATTTGTAGTGCCCCCCCCCTGACTTGCCAAACAGCAATTCCAAATCAAAATCGTTTTAATATAAAAACTACATTCGAGTTTTTCAATGCATTAGGAAAGTATTCGTATTTCTACTATATATTCATATATCAATTGTAATCAATCATGGTGCCCGAACCGATCGGCCAAACCGAAAAGGATGACCCGAACATTTTCGACACCTTGTATACACCGTTGACATTGGTCAACTTGACCAGCAATGCGCCATCCTCAAGGCAATCCCTTCAGGGTCTGGCAATGGGGCAGCTGCGGGCTGGCGCCAGCATGTCCCATTATAGCGAACGCATTTTGGAGGACATACTGGCCGAGATCTTCGCGGAGCGTCATGGCCAATTTCCCGAAACATCCTCGTCCTGTGACCCAAGCAAACTGGACCTGTCCCGCCCAGACCTTGAGCTGCATGTCGACAAGCGGCTGAAGTACTGGCGTGATATGTTGCAGACCCGTCGTCAAATGCAGAAACGTGTCGAACTGCAGACCGGAAAGAGTCCGGAGCAGGTGCTCTTCAATCGCCGCTCAACGCTCGACCATCGCAACAAGGAGACAGTGCGGCGGCTAATGGACTATGCGGACCGCCTGCGACCGATAAAACTGGTGACCAAGCCAATAAGTGCTCTCAAAGAACTGCAGGATCCCTGCACCTGTGAGCTCATCAAACCCATTGATGAGACCTGGCCGCAAGCAGAGCAAAAGGGTGCCACGAATGTGGAAATCATTGGACTGCCCGCGGTGACACAGGAGGAGCTGCTCGGCGCTGACAGTCGGAAGCTGCGGCACAGCTGGATGAAGTCAGGTGTGCTGGATAAGCGCATCGATGAGCAGTTCCGTCGAATATGCAAAGTACTCGAGTTTTTCCCCGACATAGAACAGCTGCAGGTGAAGGGCACAAACATAGCCAAGCTGCAGCCCAAGGCAAGAACTGAGCTGCTCGATGAGGAGCAAATCGTCACAATAACGACCAGTACGGAAAATATGGGCTCAGAAGAGCAGCCAAACGAATCCTGGACGGATGCACTGCTGACGGAGCCCGAACAGGAGCCTGAGCCGCCAGAGATTGGACTCATGGTCAATGGCAAGGAGTATGTTGTGTGTGACAAGCCCTTTACCGAATGCTTCGAGTTACTCACCAAATTCAACTGTGATCCGTACCAAAGGCGCATCAAGCATGTGCTCAAGCTGAAGAACATTGGCAAGCAGGCCCTGTCCTTCAAATGGTCACAGGGCGTCTACTACTACAATCGCGGCTCATTGCTGCTCGCCCAGGACAATGAGTTCCTCTTCGACACGGACAACTTTCGCCTCACCTACGGCGAAAGCTATAACCTGATTGTTATGTATCAGCCGCGCAAGGTGAGCATGGCCGTCGAGCTGTGGCGTCTGCAGGTGGAGCCGCGTATCTTTTGTGGCAGCCAGGAGTCGATGCTGCTGCGTTTCCATGGACGATGCAAGCCACCCAGGGAGTACATGGCCAGGCTAAAGGAATTACACTGCATGACCATGGGTAAAGCGAATGACCTGATGATGAAACAGCTGACGGGCCACCTGGCGGAGCTGGTGCCGCTGATTGAGCCACCGCCCGCCTGTTGTCCTTATGAGCGTGCTCTGGATGAGCGCGAGGTGTTCAACTCCCTGAACCCTGGCTACAATTGCATGCGCTTCGATGATCTGGAGGTGCTTAAGAGCATGCACAAAAATCTAAAGAAACCACGCGAGCCACACTGGGATCTGCGTCTGGACACCATTAAGATGCTCATCATGCGCATCGAGAGCTTGCCGGAACGTGAGGAAATGTTTGGCAACCTGATGGTCATACTGGAATCTTTACAAGGAACTTCCGTCAGCCTGGAGTGCGCAGATCGCTTGAATGAGCAGAAGCAACGCACCAGATTTATTTATGTACGTGGCGCCATTTGCAATGGCATCGAGGAGTGGGAGGATTTGGTCTCTATTATCGAGGAATCTTACTACAAACCCGAGCTGCGTCGCTACTATATCCATCTAATGGAAGAGGCCGAAGAGGAGGGCGAGGATTTGAATTTGGCGCCAACCAAAATCGATTTTGCCAACATCGACATCAACGAGATTGAAAACTATTTCGATAGCAAGACCTCCGCTGCCGTCATTAAGAAGTTGCATCGCTCCAAATACTTTCGCGATGCCCTATACATTCAAACCTACTCGCATCTGTGCAACATGGCAGAGAATATTGTTTCGATCATTGAGAGCACCGATGTGGTGCCCACTTGAAGTTCTGGTCAAAAGCAATTGTCAAGACTATTTGAAATTTCTTGTTTTTAGCAGCTACAAAAACTAATTGGTTAGCAAAGATTCTTAAGAAATCAATCGAATTTATGTTTCTTGATTAGATTCCAATCTCTCTGCTCTTCTTTTTTTTTTTTTTGTATATACTTCAAGAACGTCGAATGTCTTTCTTCTCCACTTGATTACTTGTCATTTTAATGTTCTACAGCTGACACATATGTAACACGATACTGCAAATTTTTAGCCTTAGTAAAGCATTTCGAGGTGGCATTGAATGAACAGTCTGGTTTCATGACAAATCTACTCAACAACCACGAATCATCGACTGCGGATGTAAATGATGGCAGTCATTTGATCAATAATATCGTAGATGACATATTTCAGCTGCAGACATGTCATTACGAGGAATCTGAATCCCAGCCAGAGCTGCAGTCCACTCTACGCTCAACGCCAGGTTTTGTGGACAGGCGCTTAAAGTACTGGAAGGACATGATACGTCAGCGTCGTGCCGAGCAGCTAAAACTGTGCCTGGCCACGGGTAGAGAGCCACAGCAGTTGCTCTTTAACGTGAGCAATCGGGAGGAGCATAGCATCAAGCGCATTTTGGACCACGTCTCGCGCAAGGAACGCTGCACAACAATAGCTGGGCTGGTTGTGGATCCTATGGAGGTTACCTTTGCCAAGCCGCAAGACTACGTTGAGATTGTGGGACTACCGAAAAAGGTTAGCTTTGCGCTGGATGGCGGCGCGTGCACAAGGAGCAGGTGGTGCGATTCGCAGCTGCTTGTTAACCGCTTGCTGGAAAAGGAAGCAGACATTAAAAAGGTGATGGAGTATTGTCCAGAAATTGATAAGCTCGAGGTAATCGGCAAGCATCTTTGGCTAAGGAAGCCCTGCGAGCGTCTATCTGTTCACACCATATCCATGGTAACTCCAGCTGTGTTGTCGGAGCGTGCCTTAGAAAGATCGATAGAAAGCAACGCATCTTTAAAGTTAAAACCATTAACGACTTGTACCTCGAAGCTGGCGGTGCTCATCAATGGCACCACCTACCGCCGATATCGGCCGGAGTATTCGCCCATACTGGAGCGCAGGTTCGTTTGCAATCCCTACGAGCGCAGCCTGCGCACTATTATGCGCATCGAGAACAATGGCCAAGAGGCAATCAACTTTAGCTGGATTCGCGCCGAGTTCTTTGCATACAACAATACACTTTTCAACTCGCCCAACGAGGTGTTTGTCTTCGATACGGAACCCTTTCTGCTGCGGCCAGGCGATGTCCGTGAGGTCTCGGTGCTCTTCCGTCCCAGCAAGGTGGGCATTGTGAAGCAGCGCTGGTTCCTCAATACCTATCCGCTCATTTTCTTTCGTTGTCCCTGCGCCCTGACTCTGAACATGCATGGCAGATGCACACCCCCACAGGAGTACCTACAGCTGATCGAAGAGTATATGCAACCAACGATACGAGATTGCCGCGGATCGACTTCAGCGCAACTGTTGCGTTCAGTACCATCACTGAAGGCGCCACGGACTCTACACCCGTTCGTCAGGGAGCTGGAGGAGAGCGAGGCTTTTAATCGGCGCAACGTAGGCTTCCACTGCGAACGTGACAGCGAAATTGAGGGCTTGAAAAGGTTCTTCTACCTGGTTCGACCAGATCAATGCAACTTGGAATGGGATTACAGTGTAAGCATGCTAATTGAATTGGTCTGTTCCAAGGAGGATGAGCGGCTGCGCGTCAATCTTTTCGAGCAGCTGCAACTACAGCTGTCTGAGCTGCGCGGCCGCACGACGCCGCTCAGCCTGAGCGACGCCCCAACCAAGCTAAAGGAACGCCAACGCACCAGATACATCTATGTGCGTGGCATCATATCCAATAGCATTGAGTTATGGGAGCAGAAGATTTGGGCACTGTCCGCACAAATGCTCAAGCTGGCCGAGCGCCGAAAGCAACCAGTTGGTGCCCGTGGACAGAGCCAGCTCCTACACTCGAAATCATTTCGACAATCAATTTATATATACACCTATTATCAGCTGTGCGACGTTGCCGAAAATATTGTCTCTGTCATCGAGAGCACTGAGCAGGTCTAGACATAAATTAAAATTCGACCCAAATACTGAATTACTGAATAAAAATAATAAATAAAAACAAATCAGAAAATATTTACATAAACACATGAACACACATTAATAGAACACAATGTTAAATATAAATCGCTTTGAGTCTTTGTTAACGTCGGTGCAGGCGGAAAACTATATCAGCAAAGCCAACACATTTTCGCTGAAGTCGCTCGACACAATGGAAGTATTGGAGCAAATCGGTGAGCTAAAGCAAGTGACCCCAAACGATGGCCAGGTAATGGTCGATGAGATTGTCAATGGGATCTTTGATCGCCGAAAGGGCATGGCCAACATCTCAAGTTCGCGATGCTCGATCGGTGAGGAATTCAGAGATTCGGAGGAAATGGATAAACGCCTCAAACATTGGCAGGACACTTTGCGTGGTCGTGCCCGAATGCAGGCTAAAATATCACGTAAGACCGGTCGCCGGCCCGAGGAGATGCTCTTCAATATGCCCATCACCGTGGAACAGCGCGACAAGGGCACCATCCAGCGTCTGATGGACTATGCTACTCGTCTGAATCCCATTACTCTGAATGAGAAACAATACGGCGTGCTGCCCGGACACTATAATGAGGAGCAGTGCGTCTGTATTCCGGAGGTGCGGGAGACGGTGCCCAAGGCGGAGCTGGCGATTGAGGCTAATGTGGAAATAAGTGGACTAACCAATGCTACGAAAAGGGAAATACTTGGCTCCAAGCACGATATGAATTCGCGTAAGATCAAGGATCGCAGCAAATGGCTAAACTCTGAGGTGCTGGAAGAGAGCATCGAACAAAAGGCTCAGGATATTAAGCGTGTGTTGGAATACTTTCCGGACTTAGACAACCTAGAAGTAGTTGGCAATAATCCTCTGGCAGAAATCAAATGGGATCACGACTCGGATATAGATCTAGTGCGCAAACAGTCACTCTTTTCCATAAGCAGCATAACCGACTACTCTAGCCTGAATGACCAGAAAGTAGAGGAAAACGAGGAAATACCATCTTCACTGTTGATTTTCGAGTCGGCACCCATTAACATTGGCCTAAAGATCAACGAGCGGACATTTATAATGAATGATCGACCCTCGTACAATATGGAAGTGACGGTATATTTTGAATGCACACCCTTCGAACGCCAACTGAAGCAAGTGATGCGCCTTGAGAACATTGGTCGTCGAGTCCTCGTTTGCGAATGGCAGGCATTGGATGTACACAAGCGTACGTCTAAGGTGTTTAACTCATGTACCGCCTGCTTCTTTTTTAATCACAGCAGAGTAAAGATTCTGCCAGGCGAAGTGCACGTCGTCAATGTCCTCTTCAATCCACACATGGTATTTTCACGCAAACAGCGCTGGGAGCTGAAAATCTTTCCGAACATCTTTTGCAGCCGTCGCAATTCGGTCATCTTGCAGATGTACGGTAAGTGCGTGCCGCCGCCGGAGTACCTGCAGAAAATCAACAGGCAGCTGCGGAAGGTCATCGACAAGGCCAATGATGAGGCACTCAAAAGTATGGTTACCCACCAAGCGGAGCTGGTGCCACTGATAACGCCAGATGAGCGCGTCTGTCCCTATGAGCGGGCTTTTGATGACCGCGAGGTGTTCAATTCCCTGAATGTGGGCTACCATTGTGAACGCTTTGATGATCTTGAGGCGCTGCGCGTTTTACACAACGTCTTGAAGCTACCACGTGAGCCGCCCTGGGATTTGCGCTTGGAGACCATCAAGGAGCTCATAATGCGCATGCCCGAGGTGAAGAAGCGTGAGGTTTATTTTCAGATCTTTCTCGGCATGCAGGAGCCGCTCTTCTGCAGCACCGATGCGGCCCTAACGCACTTCGAGCACAATAGCGAGCGGGAAAGGTCGCGCTTAATATACGTTCGCGGATGCATTGGCAATGGCATCGAGGAGTGGGAGGACCTGATGCTTTCCCTAGAGCAAAGCTGCTTCAAATCGGAGCTGGCCCTCTTCTATGCACAGCTCGCCAGGGAGTCGAAATCAGAGGAGCATGGCTCCTCCGATGAGGAAGAGACCAAGCCCTGGCGTCTTCAGCTAAAATATCTGCAGCCTGAGGTGTATGTGCTAAAAACAATGCGTGGCAAAAAGTACTTTAGGGACTCGCTCTATATTCACACTTACACTCAGCTCTGCGACATAGCCGAGAATGTGGTATCCGTTATCGAGAGCACCGAGTATATTTAGTCGCCAGCTTTGTGGCATTTTGGATAATTTCTTGTGGCACCTTTTCTGACTTCTGCTAAGCAGAACTGCTGGGCGGAAGTTGTTCCCAACAAAATTGTAGCATACGCTCGAGTGTTCACTGTAACAAAAGGAGATATGCAACAGTTTCTTATGAGATACGTGTTGCATGTGTGCCGATCCGAAAGTCGGCATACTTTTGGATGTCATGCGCATAAATTGCTAGTTGTTCTAATAAAGTCGTTTATTTCCCTTATACAATCTGAAGAATTTTCACTTCCAATTGAAAAACTGGCTTGGGATTTCTGGACAACAACTAAACCTCATTTTCCTATATTGAATTAATATCTTTTGTTTTCAAAATCGAACTTATTTACGCGTTGGGCTACACTCCCCGTGGAATAGACGTCTATTGATTGCCAGACACAAGAAATCTATTAGCCTGACTTGGCAGTGGAAAACTATTTCATGCCAAAGGACACACCTGTGTCCTACTATTCCGCCTGGGCGCTAACTTTTGCCATTATTACGACGTTTTATGGGCAACAGAATTGCCCATTTTCGCTTAGACGGCCCCTGAGCACTGTGGTGCCTGGCTACGGGCAAAGCACTTTAATGGCTGTTGCAAATGTTGCCCACAGAAAAGTTTCCCATCTTGCTCAGTTTGTGGGCGGTCCCGCTGTTCGATTTCTGCTACTTTGCATTGATTTGATGACACTTTGGGGGTTATTTTATTTGGCTAATAAACGCTCCCATCACGCCGATTGCGTGTCAAAAAGTTGTCTGCACATTTGCCGCTGTTCATTTGGCATTTGGTTCCAGTTGCTGCGCGTCGTTGGTGTCTGTTGAAATGTGTCGACTAACGAGGCCATTATGTTTGCAATTAGCCAAATTGATTTTGTGATAGCAACCCCATCGCATACGCTAAGCTAACCTATATTAGTTATATGCCACATTTAATACGCATTTAATTTGATTTTTTCTATTGCAGGTAAGCCAAACATAGATACCGTATTCTATTGATACATGTACTGGGTAAGTTTCTTTTGGGGCTCCCCCAGGCGCCAGCTTCACACGCTGCAGCGCTCTTTGAAGTCTCGCTCATAAATCACAAGTCAATGCTCGGAAAAAAGAGCAAACATTTCCGCTCTCGTTCGCATTGTTTGATCCCTAATTAACCCACAGACCGCAACAAACCATCAAGCGTTAATGTCGTACCCGACTTAATGACCGGCCAGCGTCGGCCTCTTGTGGCACACACATATTGACAAAGTAACTGGCATTATTATGCTCAATATGCGGTCTTGGGAAATGCAAGTGACCTTGAACATCTTGCCTACTCTAATGAACACACACTTATGTATAGACACATTCGGATTTTTATTAATTTCGCATATTTTGCACAATTTTAAGAATATCAGCATCAGTTGTGCGATAATTGTGTGATTTAATTATTTTAGTTTAATATTGCTTTGGCTTTGGCAACAATAGACAGCTGTTAATCTCTCTGTTCTTGAGAGACTTTTCAGAAATTATTCATCTAAAATGCGACCCAAAAATATTTATACCCATTCATTATAAAGTAAATGATGGGTCTCTTAATATAAAGAAAATTTGATTAAAATATTTATTTTTATTAAAGCCAACTTGCTTATTTTAAAAAGTTATTGCATCTCTTAGGCGCGCTTTTGAAGTTGTAGCGCCATCTAGCGTTCGTGATCACATTTCGCATACAGCCATAACAGTTATTGCGTTAACAGTGCAGTTGCTTTCCCTTAACATAAAGCTTGTCACAAACAAATAAAATGCAGAAAATAATTCATTGCACACTTATTGCAAACTAATTAAACAGAATTAAGATTTGGGCACAAAATAACTATAAGAATTGAGCATTACGTAAAGTGCAGCCTAAAGGCATGCAACAATTAATTTAACAGCACTGAGAGCTCATGCCTTTTTCTTAACATTCGTCGCATGTGCGAGTGCGCAGTTTGAGAGCGACAGCGAACGCGAACGGTTTGCACCTGTTGCCAGCGCGCATCGTTGTTGTCATTGTGAATCGGGTCCCCGGGGTCGATCCCGCTTCAAGTTTGTCGTGCGCCAGATCTGTCGTTTACCGTTGCCGAGTGCCAAAGTTTAACAGTATAGCAGCATAACTGCGTTGCGGATATATAACCCACGCGCAGGAATTACGTCTAACCGAACCCACAATCACAATAATCCCGCCCATAAGGCGGGCCAGTGCGGTGCCAAGGATAAGCAAAAAGTTGCGTTTGCAAAGATTAACAAAAAGCCGATCCAGTTCTCGAGCTCGCTGACGGCATGGATAAGCCGCTCAGCAGCGCGGCAAAGTGTCAAAAGGTGCGTCGTTCGGTGTCTACATTGTCAACAGTGCGATACACAACACGAGAGAAAAAATAATATATAAAAAAGGTTCACATAAGAAATTACAAAAAAAAAAAAAAAAAAAATATTAAAAAAAAACTGAAATGAAATTCGAAACTTATTTGAAATGCCAAGCACAGGCGTCGCTGCGGCTGGCTTAACGACTTTTTGTGTGCGTTTTTTTTTTTTTTGTTTTGTCTTTATCAGCTAGCCGAGAATCGAGCGATCATTATGAAATTTGATGTGCGCAAACGAATAAGTTAGGCAACGAACTTGAGACAGCATCAACTTAATGGCCATTCATGAAGGCCATGCCACATTAAGCGCAACGTCAGCGCACTTTATTTGATTTATTTTTGATGCATCTCGCGCACTTTCACCACGCTCAGCGCTGCAAATGAAGTCATAACCAAATAAGCCAACAAGCTGGACAGCGCCATAAAAACTACGTATAGCCACACACACTCGCACACACACACACTTGTACAGCCTTATAAGTCAGCTGAATAGTTGCAAATAATTTGATTATTGGCGGCGGCTTTCTCTATGCAGCTTCTGATCCAATTACGTGCGTCCAAAATACACCCACAAGCCAACTGCAATGACATGGCTTTAACATGGCTGCAATGTGTCAACAATGGCTTGTTAGCCCAGCAGCCATTGACATGTGTGTGTGTGTGTGTGTGTGTGAGTGTGTACACACACTGTGTGTGGGCTGCTGCGAAAAAACATGTTAAGACCTGGTACACCTTATTGACAAGCAGCGCAATGTAACTTTTCGATCCGACTGTAACTCGACTCGTGTGTGGGCGCTCTGGTTGTTAAATTATCTGTGATTTCTAATTGCCTGACATGCCAATTAATGTGTATGTATGTGTGTGTGTGTGTGTGTGTGTGTGTGTGTGGCAGGCGCTTTATTGGGTTAAATGCCAAAACGCTTGCTGCCACAACGCATAAACTGAAGCGAGAGTGTTAAATGCAGCCGCTGCCAATAGACTCATTGGCTATGCAGACGCAGCTTCTGGCGGGCAGGCCGTAACGCCTTAATTAAAACTGGCAACTGTGGATGCTACCATTTTCTGCGCTGCAAAAAAAGCTTTTTTAATTAAAACTAGACGCAACACCAGCAGCAGCAGCAGCAGCCGCAACTGGTGTCTATTTGATTGACAAGCGGAACTGGTAGCATCAGCGGAGCGGTTGGGGGATTTGGGGGGCGGGACAGGCTCAACTAACCAAGATACAGGTTAATTGTGTCCATTTAGCTAGACGACGCCAGAGGAAAGTGCCAAGGCAGCGGCCGCGGCAGCTGGCCTGCAATTTGCGGCCATATTTTATGATTACGCAGCAACGGCTGCCACCAACTAAATTTGTTGTTGCGCCTTTTTGGCCACAAAATTCTTTTCGCTTTGGCGTTAATTATGCAGCAGCGGCTGCTGCAGCCGCCGGCCAAAATCAAAAACAAAAACTGTTGTTTATGGCCACAAATGCTTAACAGGCAATTACGGCTAAGACTTTCTCCCCCCAATTGCTGACTGTGTTAATTTGTTAGTTTCACGCAATTGTCAGAGCGTAAACAATGTTCGTGGCTTTAATGTGCACAGATTTATTACTAACGCCTCACAAAACACACTCAACAATCGAAACATTTTACAGTTATTTATAGATTTAGCATAACAAAGCACATGAACTGGGTGTGTGTGTGTGTGTGTGTGTGTGTGTGTGTGTGTGTGTGTGTGTGTGTGTGTGTGTGTGTGTGTGTGTGTGTGTGTTGAGTGTGTGTCATGTAGTGTGTAGTGTTTGGCGTGGGTCAACAACCGTTTAACAGCAGCGCGTCTCGTAGTAGCATCAGCATCAGTCAAGTTCGTTGCCTAAGTCTTTCGTTTGGGCGCATTCCTTCAGCCAGAGCAATTTTTATAGAAACATCTACGGCACATTTTTTTTCGTTTTTGGCAACTGAAATGATTGTGGCGCATTAATCATTTACATATCAGAAATGTTTTTGTGCCTTTTTCGACGCTAATTGAGCGCGTCTTTTTTTTGTTTATATTTTTTTTTTTTTGTTTTGGCCAGCACGCAATTAGCCAAATATTGTTGTATCTTTTGTTGTCGTGTTAGCAAATCTCGCATAAGACTGCGCATGGCTTGTCCCATAAATCATAAAGAGTGGCCAAAAGCTGCTCGTAAATTAATTAGGCATTACGACTATTTAAATGAGGAAGTTTCTGCTTATGGCCGCTAATGATCGCCGCTCTGTTTGAGCCAGTTGCTGAGAATGGGCGCAAACGCTGTGATAAATGATAGTGCAGTCAGCTTGAAATAGTTGCCGTTGCCTCAATTGCCTAGCCTGACCGCGCATGCATGCATCCAGCATCATCATCATCATCATCATCATCGTCGTCAGCCACAAGAAAGTCATTATCGATATGCTGCGCAATTGTAACTGTCAAGCTGTCCGCTCGCGTTAGCGTGCAAATCATCTTTGCAATAGATAACAACTGGTTCACAGACATCATCGCTCTGGGCGATCGGCTTGTGCCGATTTCGATGCCAATCTGTAAATGGAGCAAACGCTGTATTTTGATTGCATTTGACATACAACACGTACAGCCCGTCTCTCT